AACCATAATAATTAATTTTACTTGTATTTTATAGTGACTATTTTTTAAATTTATTTTTAGTTGTGCATAAGGTTTTTTTTTTATTTACTGTTAATTTAATTTATTAGCTTGAAGCGGCATTTTGCGCTGTTTCACTATAAATGTCCATGTGTCCTTGCAAATTGTTGTTACCAAATATTATTGCTCTGTATTATATTTAAAGAAATTAAATAATGAAGAATCTGCCTGAATACATGTTTCTCGCACTGTGACAAAAACAACGGTATCTACAGCCATCAAATTTTGAATAATGTAATCCTCCACCCTGAACATGGGCATCTGGACGGCCGAATTTCGAATTTGTTTTAATCTATTTCGTATTTTTGATTAACAAACTCAACGAGAAATTGAAATTGAGATTGATTTTTAAATATTTTTCGAATTTTTGATTAACAAACTCAACGAGTTCAAAGCGAGCAATGATAACACTGTACGGAAAATAACATTTTTTTATCTCCAGTGCGAAAATTCTAAAGATATGCTGTTTTCAAATGTATGAGGTGTACGGGCGAAGAACATGATACTCTAAATATAGATAACGCACAAAACGTTAAAAAAAGGGGGGGTTCCTTTTGGGCGTAATATAAAATCTGAGTGCTTCTAGATTATTTTATCTTTTTTTTTTTTCTTTCATTACACTCAGAAAATTTATGCTCCGAAGTTTATAAATTACTAAAATAAATTATTAATCACTTTAATGTTAATAATTTATAATAATTTATTGATGATATAATCAAGTAAATAATCGTTTTGTAATGTTATAGTTTTGAAAATCACTGCCTGGAAATGTTCATTAAATTTTTTAAAAAAATTATCAGATCTTGTTTAATTTTACCGCATTTATTTCAAAGCATCACGTAGTATCAATCTTATTTAATTTTACTTTATTTTTACGCAAAATTAAGTTCATAAATTTTATGCTTAGAGTTTTTACCGCTTTACCAAACTAAAGATGTTTGTACAACAATTACGCCTGAAAAAAATGCGCAAAATGCAGTAAAAAGTGCTTTGAGATATATTAAATCCTATTTGAAAAAAACTGTCACTCTCATAATCTCCTTAATATACAAACGCGTTAAAAACTTTAACGGTTTCAGTGTTAAAGTAAACCAGATCGTCCCTACACTTTCTTGGGGACATGTTGGTGACGCGCGCCCCGCCCACTGGGTTACTTCTATCTCTTATAAGGTCCATGGATTCGACAGGTTGACGTCAGGAATGTAAAATATTAGCAGTGTAAAATCAACGATGTTTCTGTGTAGAATGTTTTGTCTGAGATGTATGTCGAGCAGATACGCAGCAACGGAGCCAAATTATTGATCTTACAAATTTCTGCTAAAATGATTGTTTCTTCAAGAACAAGGTATTTAATTTAATCATGCAAGGAGGGGGGAAATCAAATGCGCATGTGCAAAGCATACCAAAAAAAAAAAAAAAAACGTTGTTTGGAGGTCCGGATTTTAGATCATTCCGGATATTGGACGTTCACTTCTCGGACTTTGTACTGTACTAAGGCAGAGTTTCTTAAACTGTGGATCGCGGGATTTGCAACTTGGGGGTCGCCAAAAATTTAACAATTTTGATATTTCTTTAACTTATAATAATTTTGTAATTACCAAATATTTTTTACATAATGTATCTGAAAATATATAAAAATGAGACAATGTAAACAAAAAATTAAAACGTTTCGAAGCATTTTTTTTTTTTTTTTTTTTTTTTTTGTATAATAGAAACGTTTATTTTACTTTAAAAATAAAAGTCGGGGATCTAAAACTGCAATAGTATATTACAAGTGAAGAAACTAATAGTTTCACTCACGCGTGTGTCAGATTTGCTCAATGCTTATGGGGGTCCCACAAAATTTTCGTAAATAGTAGGTGGTCCCCACACCAAGAAGTTTAAGAAACTCTGCGAGGATTCGTTGCGCATAAACAATTTAAAGGTGACAAACGAAGAATATGAACACTAATTTTGAAAAATTGGTTTATTAGATTTATGTTTTTTTATTTTAGAGATATAAAAAAATTTTCAGGAACAAAATCGTAGGTTCTGTTTGCACAGAAGCTTGATTTTAATTAACATGATGGCTACGCTTGATGTACTTATGCATTTTTTAAAAGTGTTAGGGCTTAAAATTAACCTAATTCTTAAACCATCTCGTTCAAAAATATTCAACATATTTCTTGTTTTCCCTATTAAATTATTGATTTGACGAAAAGCCTACTTCCACTAGATTAAGAAGAGGGAAAAGTCGATAATGGTGTTTCGGTCACAACTTTAATTCTGAGATATTATTCTCGGAGGACTTTTAAGTTCCCCAAATTAGCGTACCCATGTTTTTAATTAAACTTGTTGTTTAGCGTTCTTCTTTAATGCAATCAACTTTTCTTGCATTATATTATCAAGATCAAATATATTGCAGTTGAGCCTTGCTATGAGCCATGGCTTGCACATTCAAATTTCCAATGTCCTTGGATACGAACATTAACGTCTTTTAAGTTGCAAGTGGCTTGTATGCAAAAATACATCTTCTGGAAAAGTTTAGTACATACTTTTGGTTGTGTTTCCGAGTTTTCTTTTCTATATTGCACTTATTGCATAAAAAATTCATATATATTTTTTAAAATATATTGTTGATATTAAAAAGTTCGTATGTATTTTCCCTTTGTATTTATTTATTTTATGTGATTTCTTCCGTACTACATGATATAGTTTTTATATCAGTAAGGAATTAATTATCATTTATATTAATAAATAAATGTTACTTGGTATGTGTTCATTGCTTTAAGGAAAAAACGTGTTTGCGTTTTAATTCTGCTAATTGAAGTGCTTTTGGGTACAATATGTCCCTACTAACAAGCCGGATAACGATAAAGGTGTAAATAAGGTTAAACGTGTGAAGGATGAAGCTAAAGACTCTGGTCCCGCTGCTGTTAGGGACATACTTAAACTCATACAAGAGTTAGCTGATATATTCAAGGTTTTTCCTGTTGTTAAAATCATTGACAAAATTATTAAAAAAATGTCAGAGCTGCGTGCAGCTGAACATACTATTGATAAAATGTTTATATTATTCGATATTTTTGAAAATGTATTTGGCACTAAATGTACTGACAATGAATAGTGTTGTAAATAATTTTATTTTGTTCATCCTAGTTTAAAATGTCGATAAATTCGTGTACCTCTTTGCCTATGTATCTGTATGTATTGTATTGATTTGCTCTCTGTAAGTATTAGCACCGTGAGACTCGCACTTCCTAATGCATAGTTTGTTTTTTCTAAGTGTATTTTCTTCATCTGATTTATTTTGACTGCAAGTTATTGTTTTTTGGTATCATTCGCAACAGCTTATACGTTCTACAAGTGGTAGGGTTCACGATAACCCAGGTACCCTGGTGCTACACCGTTTCACTGGGGGTACAATATTTTTACAATATTGTATCTCCTGTGGAACAGGTGTACAAACAATATTTTTTGTTTTTTCATCTGGTTGGAATGCACGAATAAATCGGAAGGTTTTCCGGTGCGTTAACACGACAGGTTAAGTGCTTAAACATTGCTCGTTTGTTTCTGAAGCTGGTGATGCGTTTTTCTCGTGCTTGAGATGTAGATCGAGCAGTCAATTTTCGTTTTAGTGACATATAATTGATTTCACTGCGAAAATCTTCAATTTTTGTGACGACTGTTACAAGAAATTTTATCTTCCACCATATTTTGTTCGTTTGCACTTAAGCAGCTGAGGAAGATGGTTCTGTAGTTAAACCATGGAAACTAGTCCTATAAAATTTACAAATATTACCCTGATTCTTGTTGTTTCACTTCTCTAATAATCATTATTTAAGTGTGTTATATTTTAACCCAGATTTTGCCTTATTTAATAGTAGAGATAATATTAAATTTATTTTAATGAAATAAAAAAGTAATACTGACAGTTTTAAAAATTAGTTTCACTGAACGAGCAGTGTAAGTAAACTAATTATTTATATAAAATCTGATAAATAAATAATATAAATACTTTTACAGCTATTGGATAATCAGTAAGTAAATGGTAATGGTCGAACACTCGAATCATCGCTGTTATTTCATAATTTGATTCTTAATTCAGACTTCGAAAAAGTTAGTTTTATTGACGTTCTTTACAAGCAATCTTTAAAAAAAAGGGGGGGAAGGGTGTGGTTGCAGTTTCCGTGATGTTGTTCCAATTTGAGCACATTTTGGAGAGAAATTAAGGTTTTGTTTTATGACATAGTTAATATTGACCGCCCTGGAGTCGATGAAATTTTAAGGGGGTATCAGTGATGATCAAGGGTTCGATTGGGGATCGATAGTCTATACGCTGCCGCATAATCAAGATCTTATTCATTACCAAAAAGAAATATATATGAATACAATTGATAACTGTTTATTGATATAAAGCTATATCATGTAGAAAGAAAGAAAATGTATAAAATAAATATAAGGAGGGATAATCTAAAATTGTTTAATCTATCTTAAAATCAATAATATTTTTTAAATATATACATTTTTTATGCAAAACGTGCAACGTAAAAAAGTAAAGCGCTAGAATGCAGGAAAACATAATTAAAAAATATTACGAAGAAGGAAGACCTGGAATGGAAAAGCAGAAACAAGTTGATTATTTTTGAACTGGGTGATTTAAAAATTAAATTAAGCAATTTTATGTCAAACATTAAAAAAACTGCATCACTCTAATGAAGCGCAGCTATCACATTCATTAAAATCGAACTTTTGTGTAATCAGATTCTGTAAGTTTGTTTCAGAAAACTTGATATTTGTAAACCAATTTTCAGAACTTTTGTTGATAATCTTAATTGTTATTTTTAAATTATCCATATAAAATTATTTGTATTATGATTATGTTGTGTACTGTATATTATAGAAGAAAATGTAAAGATGTCCGTGAAGAAAACCATGAAGAAAAAGGGCTGATGCAAGGAAAAAAGTACTGGGATCTCTGCTCTAGTCAGTAGAAAAATTTGGCAAACTTCATTACCATTTCTGCGTAGCTTGTTAAAATAATTTTCGGTTTGGATGAAAGAATTAACTTTTAAAAATCTTCCACTGGAAAAACGTTCGCTTGAAAACTGAATAAGTGAATGGATTTAAGAGTGGGAGTAGAGTTGTTAGCATTGATGTCTAAAAATATTCGCTCTGCTTTTCGCCTGTTATTCTGAGAAGTTGACTTGCTGCTTTTACGGCGGTAGTTATTCGCATTCTCAACTTCGCAGAATTTCAAAACACGCATTACATAATTTATGTTCATTTTTTTGTGGAAAGTTTCTAAACTTTTATTTACTTTTAAATATAACGTTAACTTGAAGTGAGTAAGTAAAGTAGTAAAAATATTTAAAACGAATAGTGATACCGCAAACATTAATATTTTTTGCATTTAATCGAGAGGTTTTTCAAGTATTAGCCTTGTATTCCCTGAATTTAAGCTTCAGATATAATGCAATTTACCGTCCAACACGAAAGGTTTCAGTTTGTACGCTCAATTTTATATGACTTTTTTTTTCAACCAATGCATTGGAAAATGTTTTGGAGATCTGGCGACGGCATATGCAGCCTAGAAATTATAGGAGATCGTCCATACTTCACAGTAGGAACCGAATTTCTGTTAATTTTTTTTTTTTTTTTTTTCCCCTCGTTCAGGAAACCAGTTTCCAGAATCGAATTTCTGTTTAAATTTTCTTGTTCGTTTGAGAATTTAAGATTTGGCATTTTCATTGTCTGCTACTTTTTTGCTTTGATTGAAACGAAAAATAAGATTTATTTTCGAAATGGCTCCTAAAATTGATAGATGGTTTGAGGTTACGTAAATACACTTTACGAGGAAAAATATTCCCGTCAACAGATTTTAAAGCCGGGTAAAATTCACGTTATTGCATTTCAAAGAGAGCTATTCTTGGCACTTAAGAGTGGTTCACATTTGTTTTCGGACACTTATGTTTTTCAGTTTTATTTAAGAATATCAGCTGCTAAATATTAGTGAAATGACTCTTTTTGTTTCATATATAAATCATATATAAATATACGAGTACTATTGATAATCTAATTAAAAGCTACTAGTTTTGAAAAAGTTATTCAAAATTTTTTTGGTAAAAAAGTATAGCTTATTAAAAAAGTTGTAAAAACGAACTGGCATAAGTATCCGGACGCTTTGAACAAGCATTTTAATAAAAACATGACAAGAACGGGAGATCCAGTACTTCGTTTGATATTCTTTAACTAAGTCTACACTGTTCATGCACGTTGACAAGGAATTAACTAGTTTTCTCATGAAAAATGTTACCCCCCTTTTTTCTCGCAGCATTTCGTCTATCTGACCGAAATGTATTAAATTTTGATTCTCTTATAAATATAACATTATTTCAATAGGATAAATTATTACTTTCCATGGATTTTGTGAACTCATTGTAGCCATATGCTGTAATGACTTTTCTGACAGTTTCGCGGTGAACTTTTATTGCAGACTGTTTATCTAAAATCCCTGAAAAGTTTTACAGCACTAATCTTCGCGTTTTGTTTGCTTTTTCTTAAAGTAAATCCCCGGTTCCATCGTCTTAGCCTGGAGTGTAATGTCCATTTTGAACGGTCGTTTTAATGTATCAAAGATAGTTCAGTACTTTTACATGAAGGATTATTTGGATATTATGAATACTTTGATTATCTTTAAAATGGTGAATAGTTAAATTTCGAACAAATAATTTGTTAATTGTAGCGTCTTGACATGTTCACTTCAGGTATGGAATCGGTAATATATTTCACTAAATAAATGATAATTTCTAAATGCACACGATTAATCTTATACAGTGAAAAGTCATTAATTCGGACATCCATAATCCGGAATTATCCTGACCTCAAAGCTACACGACGCATGCGCATAAAGGCCCGTTTCCACTACTGCGTATGCGTTGCGGTGTGTATGCGTTTCTCCAATCAGCGAGCTAATTCACTTTGATTGACATCTGCAATCCGGTCGGTGTGCGGTGACGGATGACCGGATGGAGTTCAACAATGTTCAACTTCTATCCGTATGTCTGCGGTTGCGTATTGGTCACGTGGTGAAAAAGGAGCAATCAGGTGCAGTGACTAAAAATTAATGGCGGCAGAAGTAGCGATGAACGCTCGCTAATAGGGAAAGAATGTTTTGCTAAAAAATACTTATTTCTGAATTAACATTATAGCGAGAAATCTGCGTGCTGAAAATGACAGCAATCAGCTGAATTTAGTTTAAAATGATAAGAAAAACAAGATAACTGCAACTACAATACTTGTTCATTCAAGAAAATCAGCGGCAAAAATTTTTTAATTCCAAGTCCATGAAATAGCAAAATTTGTTCTAATAATCATTTTTTAGTTCTGCATACTCATTTAGCTTTAATGAAAATGAACGTCTGACTATATCAAACTGCTATAGCAAATTAGATATGATTAAAAGATTTGCTATTTTTTTCTTTTGAAACAGGTAAAAACTAAAAACGTTAATTATAAATTAAATTTGATAGCCTTTTAAATACTCCAGTTCATTGAAAAGTATGTTAAATTTGTATTTCCCTTTATAAATATATCTTTTTGGATAACATATATTTGTAAGCACATGAAATATATTTTTAGCAGCCCGTTTAACTTCAATCGGAACGCCACTTTAAAAGATAAGGATTTTTCCAAAAAATGTTCTAGAAGCTGAAGAACAAACTCTGGTGAATTTTTCAGACAATAGCAAAGTGAAATAGGACCAAAAAACTTAAGTTTTAAGAATTGATTTACTTGATGATGTATATAACCCAAAATATGCATGTGACTTACGTGTAATCCTAACTTAGTGGTAAAGCTGATGGTAACGATGTCCACTTTTTGGAGTCGTGAGTTCGAATCCCATACGCTTTTTGCACCATGTCTGCAACTTTCTTACCTTTTTATTCCAATTTGATCTATATTCATGTTTTATAATTTATTTCTATTATTATATGCATTAAATATATTGTTTTATTTATGCTCTTATTTATTTAAATTTTTCCCGCAAAAAAGTTTGAAAATTATATAATACTAATTTAAAGCATATCCTGTACATATATATTTGAATTTAACAAACATTCTCTATTCGTAAAAAGCAAATTTTAAAGTTAATTAAATTTAAATGAAATTTAATGCAAAGAAAGAAATGATTAATTATTGCTGTGCAAGTATCAAAATCCATGAATAAATATATAATTCCAAAAATTTATTAATCCTTAAAAAATTTATAAAAATGCATAAGTGAATAATGGGATAGATTATTAATCCTAAAAAAATTATAAAAATGCGTAAGTGAATAATAGGATAGATTATTAATCCTAAAAAAATTATAAAAATGCGTAAGTGAATAATAGGATAGCTTATTAATCCTAAAAAAAATATAAAAATGCATAAATGAATAATAGGATAAATAAATTTTTGGAATTATATATTTATTCATGGATTTTGATACTTGCACTTGATTTACATATGCTCTCAGAATTTAAATGATATTGTATATTAGTTCGCAGCAATAATTAATCCTTTATTTGTTTGCATTAAATTTCATTTAAATTTAATTAACTTTTAATTTTTACGAATAGAAAATGTTTGTTAAATTCAAATTTCATTCCTTGCAGCAATGGCGCAAGAGAATTATTTAAATTTAATTTATTTTGAAACCCTGCAGATATATATATGTATATATATTTTTTCGTTTCACTTTTATGTGAATGTATATACATGTGCTCAGACTTTGGGATGTTTACGACTCTAAACTTCATTACCAATTAACATGAGACAGTATTAATGCCCTAAACATTTTTTTAACAAAAATTAACTATAATAATTGCTTTTAAATTCAGTCCTCTTCCTGCAGAAGCGCAGGAATTAATTAATTAAATATTTCCATTTTCTTTACCTAATGTGTGTAATATAAAGAGAAAAATCTTATTTTTATAACTTCTTGTATAAAAAGAGATATGAATTAAAAATGTTTAAATTAAAAATAATATTTTATGGATTATGTATAAAATATAACTGCCCATAGTGCATTTTAAAACAAACGAGATTTCTAATAAATTATCCAGCTATGACCCTGAAGTCAGCGGTATACAAGCATAGCAAATTTTGCTTAAATATTGTGAACCTTTCCTTACAGTTGCTCTGTACTTTTAAAGTACCAACTATTTTTTAATCCCTTTAACTTTTTTATTTTATTTGTTTTTTTATTTATTTGTTTACTTTTTCACTAACAGTACATTTTAGTTTTAATAATATATATATTATTTCATAATATTTAAGGCTTCTAGAAACACAAAATTTTTTTTTTAAATTTAGTTCAGCTTCTATGGAATTCGTGATGTTCATAATATGCATTATAACCTTACTTATCTAAAATTCCCTATCAATCCAAAACAAACAATGCTCGCTTAAGCGGGAAAAATTCAGATGTTCAGCGTCGTAACTTGCGAACTGCTTGCGCCAAAATTATTACAGTGACACCTAGCGGCGGAAAATGAAAATATTTTACGCATACGCAGCAGTGGAAACACTTGTACGGATGCCGTAGGCGTGTCTTCAATTGACGCAACGCGTTCGTACGCAGTAGTGGAAACGAGCCTTAATACGTTTACGCTTGCGCGTTTAATGTATAATGGACGGTATAAGCTAAAATTATCTATTTCAGTTAATGTTGCAGATTGCGTTGTTCCTTAATCTTCGAATTGGATCCGGCTTATTATTTTTTGCAGACTGTTAGAGCAATTTTATAAAAGTAAGCTTGAACTTTCGATTATGTCAAATAGAATTTCCTATGCTGGAGCTCCCAAAGGATCTACAAAGCGAAAGTATGTTTCGATGTCCATCAAACAAAAAGTGGAATTGCTGCAAAAAATGGATAAAGGCATATCCTTTGTTTCTCTAACCATTCCGAAATCTGTTTATCAATTTCACGCTGCTCTGGT